CACAGTGACCCTGTATGGGATTTCTAAGGAGTGGCTAGTGAGTTCGAACCGCTGACCTTGCAGTTCAATCCGACCCTGACGTCCAGTGTTTTTCCTGCAGTGCCACACCAGGATTGATGCTTTGTTGTTGTTGTTGTTATGTGCCGTGGAGTCGATTCCGACTCATAGCGACCCTGTACAGGGTTTCCAAGGCTGTAAATCTTTATGGGAGCAGAAAACCCCATCTTTCTCCCAAACAGCTGGTGGTTTTGAACTGCTGACCTTGCGGTTCATAGCCTAATACGTAACCACTACGCTACAGAGCTGGATTGATGCTCGTAGCCCTGGAATTGGCTCCATCAGGACACCTTGTATACAATTAGATGAAACATTGTTTTGTTCTATCCCGTTTTTCTAAGCTTTGGTGTATTAAAGTCCAATGTCAGGGCTGTGCTCTGAACCCATCTCCTGACGGGGCTCTCTCGGTTTTGCTGACCCCTCAACTTCACCTGCCATGAAGTAGGTCCTTGTCTGTGGTGGGTCTTACCTGATGTCCAGAGTAAGGGAACTGAAGTCTTGCCGTCTTCTAAGGAGTACTCTGTGTACATTGCTTCTAAGATTTGTTTGTTCTTCTAGCTGTGCTCTGTATATTACCATTCTTTGTCATCTCTGTAATTCAAAGACATCCATTGTTCTTTGCTCTTCATCTTCTGTCTTTAAAGTGCCCCCAGGACTATTGCAGGATAGTATGGTATGGGGTCCTGTTGTCGGACAAAATCCTGGCCTTTCTGACTTCCTCATGTGTCTCTGGGCCCAGAGCAGGGCCGGTTCCCCGGTTTCTGGCTCACCAGGGACTCTGTGAGCTTGTCACTAGGGTTTGAAATCGGCCTGCTGGGAGTATTTACACAGTGGGCATTGGTAAATGCCACAGAGGGGAGTTTTTTCCTTTTCCTGGAGAACTGGTTTGTCGACTTCGCTCTGCCCCATCTCCACATCTTCCTTCCCTTGGAGGGGCTGAGTATTTTTAAACATGCCTGCTGATTTTTTTAGTTACTCTTTTTATTTCTAGAAGTTGTGTTTGGATCTTTTCCAAGTCTGCTGTATCACTTCTTAATGGTTTCCTGTCCTCCACGAATCTTTCCTAACTTGAGGTTGTTTTTCTAATGAGGAAGGCATTCCTGATCCATCTAATACTTTCATAACCCAAGGCTTCTTCAGTGGATGTTTTCTGTCTTGGTTGCTTTTGGGGTTTCTCCCCCATGTTCCTGGTGGATCTTATTCTCTTGTCTGCTGGTCATTGGCCTTACAGAAACCAGGGAGGAAGGTGCCCTTGTCCACGGGGACTGTGCGCTTAGCGAGAGCTGGGTAGTTGGGAACTACTTTGAACCAGGGTTACTACCTGGAAATCCCCAGACCATGCTTTTATAGAGGCTGCAACCAGGAGCAGCCAGGACTCCTGAGAGTGAGCTTAGACTCTCCTTTCCTTTCCTTTTATTTTGTGTTGATTGTTTTATTGTCATTGTTGAGAATATTCAGAACAGAACATGCACCAATTCAACAGTTTCTGCATCTCCGTGGCATTGGCTGCATCCTCTCCCAACTTTGCTGAGTTGGTCCTCCCCCGTGGATATATATCCACTGACCCCTAAGTTTCCTATCTTGCCCAGTTGCTGTTTTCTGTTTGATCCCATATCGCTAGTCCTTAAAAGCACACAATGTTCAAGACGACCCTTTCCCCTAGTTAAATGAAACTCTTGTTTTCGTTTTAAGAAGACTCCGTGGGGATGTGTTTTATATAAATAACATTTGATGATGGCTTGGGGGCAATACTTTCAGGGGTTCATCCAGCTTCCTTGACTCCAGAAAGTGTGGAGTCCATGAGAATTTGAAATTCTGGTCTTCATGTTCCTCTTGGAGATTCTTCTCTAGCTTCATTGCTCAGAATGTTCAGTAATGGTTGTGGTCTCGTGGCAAATGAAGCAATTCTCCCTATTGTTAACTGTTGTGAAAAGTTGGTTCCAACTCATTGCAATTCTGTGTAGGGTTTACAAGGAACAATTGGTTGGTTTGAAATGCTGACTTTGCAGTTAGCAGTCTAGTACTGCCCTCAGCATCATACAAGGATGCTCTATGTTCCCTGTCTTGCTCCACCGCGTCATACTAGCTATCATACATACTACCTATCATATATAGTGCTACCCTCAGCATCATACAAGGATGCTGTATGTTCTGCCTTGCTTCCTCTGTTGCTCCAGGAAATTGTCCGCTTGTCAGCTTTAAAGACCCCAGGCACTACACAGTGAGCTAGGAGGTGGGATAGAAGTACCAGAGGTGTTATTAGGCTGATAAACTGGGATGTTCAGTGAAACCACGGCCCTAAGCTTCCGATCCATGGCAGCCATCCCATGTGGTATTCCGTTGAACATAAGCAATCTTCCCCCCTCCTTTCTCCCCTGGCTCTTCCCAGCCCCCGAGCTGTTGTCAGTACAGTGCCCTGGGTTGATGGGGAGCTGTGGTCCATTTCTGGGTCCTCTGACTCTAAAAGTGGCATTCCAGGCCAGCTGGAGCTTGGGAGTCTCTTGTTCCTTCTGAGATGCCACATGCAGTTCTGGGGGTATCCAAATTCTCAAAAGGTGGGTGAGAATAGGACTTAACTACATCAAGCTCCCATGGTCTCTGTTTCACACGAGCATCTTCAGCCCACCCCTCTCTCCTTCTCTGGGTGGGGAATTTTTCAGAGAGGTGGCACTGTCCCCATCTGGGCCCCAAGCTGCTCTGTGACCTCCCAGCATCCACTAGGGTCCAGAAGGAGCAGGTGCTCATCCCGCCAGGGCATTTGGCTAGGAGAGAAGGGGACTTATTCTGCCCTGGCCACCCTGGCCTACATAGTCTCCCCCTCCCGGGGTAGACACCGGTTCATCCAGGTCCCACGTTTTAAAGCATCTGCCGTATGTTTGTTTGGAATTGGTCCCATGGCCCCTTTCCAAGTCCCTCCAGCTGTGTCCCTGGGAGAGACCCCATGCTGCACGTCAGCGGACTGCATCCTTCCAGGGCAGTGCCTCAGACGCAGGCTCCCATGGACTTGGAGGGGCATACTTTGGGGACGTGTGGGTGAGTGTGCACGGAGAAGTAACTCGGGTCTGAAGCGTAGAGTCAGGCTTTGCCACATGTGCGTTGAGGGTGAGTCTCAGGTTCCCAGGCCTTCGTGACTTCCCAGTCAAGCGATTCTGTGCACATAAACATGGTGCCCTCAGCTGCCTGCATTGTCACCCCTGCCCAACCAGGTCTGGCATTGCCCCAAGTTTTCAAATGAGGAAACAGGGCTCAGAGAGGTTAAGTCACTTGTAGAAGACCACACAGGGTCAGAACCACCTGGACCCAAGGTCTCCAAGTCACATGAGCTCACTCACCACCCACCCACCTGTCCTTCCCAGCCTTTCGTCTGTGCTGAGATGCATTCCAGTGGGCCTCAATGAAGCCACACCTGGACCTGCCAGACCTGGAGCCGGGAAGGTCACTGTCCCGATGGATTGTGAGGCCCTTAACACCTGACCAAGCAGCACTCAGTAACCAGGGTGTTCATTGAATCACTCAGACATTCTACACCAGAGAGAAAAGACTCGTCTGAGTTCACAGCTCCTTCCTGACTGAGCTGGACTTGAACTCAAACCCCTGCGTCAGGCGGCTCATCCACATTAGGATCAAGCCGTGCAGATGCAGTGTGACCTAGGGACCAGGCTAAGGACAAGCCCTAACCCTGCAGAAGGGGAACAGCCTCAGGGACCACCTTCTTGGACCTACCTACACAGGTTGTCAGAGGCTCTGAGTGTGCTAGGGCCAGGGCATGGGGGTGGGGGGAGTGCCCTGTGCTACCTGGACTAATGCAGGCAGGAACTACACCTTTCTGGAAACTCCACAGGAGATTCAGTATCTTTGTTTCCTGGGGTCCTCCCTCCAGACCCTCCTGTGTGACCTGGGACCACCCACTTAACCCCTCTGAGAGCTTCATTCTGCCCTCTGCAGGGCAGGGACTCTATCTAACTCCTGCCACGAAGTGTTTTTAAGGGGGCTGAGCAATTGCTAGCACATATTGCTGCTTGCTGTCAAGTGAGGTCTGACTCACAGCAACCTGATGTACAACAGAGGAAATGGGTCTACGCCGTCTTCGTGAGGGGTTGGTATGTTTGGGTTCACTGTAACAGCTACTGTGTTACTACATCGCTTGGCAGTTTTCCACATTGTTGCTGACCCTCGAGTGTATCAAACATTCTTTGCTGGTGATTGCTCTTTCTTGGTGACGTGTCCAAAGTGAGCCAATCACAGTCTTACTGTCCTTTCCTGGTGACGTTTCCTCACTTCTGAGGGGCGTTCTGGTTGTACTTCCTCTAAGACAAGTCTGCTTGTTCTTCTGGCTGCCCGCAGTGTATTCAATAGTCTTCGCCAACACCATCATCAAAGATGTCCTTCCTCTTTGGTCTTCCTTATTCGCTGTCCAGCTTTCAAATGCATAAAAAGTGATGGAAGGCCCATGGTTTGGGTCAGGTGCACCTTATTCTTCAAGGTGACATCTTCGCTTTTGGGTACTGTTGTTGTTGTTATGTGCCGTGGAGTCGGTTTCGACTCATAGCGACCCTGTACAGGGTTTCCGAGGCTGTAAATCTTTACGGGAGCAGAAAGCCTCATCTTTCTCCCGCGGAGCGGCTGGTAGTTTCGAACTGCTGAACTTGCGGTTCGCAGCCCGATTCGTCACCACTACGCTACCAGTACTAGTTGTTGTTAAATGCTGTCGAATTAGTTCTGGCTCGTGGCAACCCTGTATAGGGTTTGTGGGAGCAAACAGCCTCATCTTTCTCCCACTGAGTAGCTGGTGGCTTTGAACCGTGGATCTTGTGGTTTGAAGTCCAGAGCTTGTCTTACAGAGTTGCTCGGTCAACTGTGACTTCATCTGGGGGGGGTAACATAACTTCAACAACATGTGTCTGCCCTTCCTGACTTAAGAATTACTGCTCTTTTCTTTCTAGACCAAAATTCACGGAATTGGATTTGTGAAAATTCATGCCCCTTGGAACGTCCTGTGCAGAGAAGCTGAGTTCTTAAAGCTCAAGATGCCTACAAAAAAGGTTGGTGGGGATTTTTCTAATCCGAAATAGATCGCCACATCTCCTGTAATTTGCCCTGTGTTGTTAATGGCAAATCAGGTGAGCCTGAGGACACACATCCCTGTGTCTGGCGATAGAGAATATGACCCGGTCCAGGGTGATCTTTGGAGACCCCAGACCATACCTTGCTAGGATATGACATGAAGAGAGCCTGCTTCTTGACACAGAGATTTATTAGAAATATGTTGTTGTTGTTGTTGTTGTTGTTAAGTGACATAGAGTCGGTTCCTACCCATAGCAACCCTGTATAGAGTTTCCGAGGAGCAGCTGGTGAGCTTGAACCGCCGACCTTGCAGTTCAAACAGCTTTGCAGTCTGGCGCATTAACCTGCAGCGCCATACCTATAAGCACCCTTAAACTCCAGGTTCTGGTTTTATACACTGTTCATCTATCAGATTTATTTAAATTACATTTCCTGGTTTTCTGGGATTTTTATCTCTTTATCTCCCTGCTTATCCCCACCACCACCACCGCCACCCTCTGGGTATTTTAATAGACTTTGTTTTTTTAGAGCCATTTGAGGTTTGCAGAAAAGACAGACAGCTCAGAATATCCATCCCCTCTCTCCTGCTGGTGGCTTCTGTTATTCAGATGTTGCATTCCTGTGATACACTGTTACCATGGATGGACCAAGACTGATACATTGTTGCTTCTCATGGGTTGTAGCCTCCTGTGATACCAACAAATGCATCCCATCATGTGTCCACCTTTTCAGTGCTGTACACAAGAGCTCCACCGGCTGAAAACTTGTATTTCACATTTCCTTTTTAACCTCTGAAAACTACAGGGAAAGAGCGATTTTACTGTGTGCTCCTTGACGGACTTTTGGGACCTGTGTTTCTTTATGTGTGGGAAGTGCTCCAGCTCCGTCTCCAGATTGGGATCCCCTGACCCCCAGGAGAAGGGAGAGTTCTATGAAGGGTCTGAAAGAAAACCTGAGGGTCATTCAGCACCCCACACCGTAACCTGTCTCATCCGCAGATGTACCACATCAACGAGACCCGCGGCCTCCTGAAAAAGATTAATTCAGTGTTCCAGAAAATCACAGACCCCATCCAGCCCCGAGTGGCTGAGCACCGTCCCCAGGCCAGCAAAAGACTCTCGTACCCCTTCTCCCGCGAGAAACAGCACCTGTAAGTCTGGGACCCGGCACCCCTTATCCATGTTGCAGGATGAAACTCAGAGGTTATTCCTGTGAGCACTTTGTGACTTCTGGGCTCAGGAGAGTCCAAGAGAGGCCTGGACATGCTGTGTAAGGTTGATGTTCACTGAGGACACAGGGAGATTGTCTGGTTCTTCTGCTGAGGAAAAATCAAAACTGTTCTCATTCACGGTAGCCCCGTGTGTGCCAGAGTAGAACTGAGCTCCACAGAGTTTTCAGTTGAGGTAGATTGATTGCCAGACCTTTCCTCCAAGGTACCTCTTAGTGGACTTAAAACTCCAACCTTCTGCTTCATAGTGGAACACTGCACCCCATAGAGAAGATAGCAAGGGCACGTTGTGGGTCTTGCTTTGAAGCTGGATGGCTTTGAATCTGTGGCCTGCCGGTCCCCTCCTCATCTGCCCAGCCCCCTCCCACTCTGTTTTATGCTGGAAGCACCGACTGGCCTATGCTCTTGCTAAACAGGCTGCCCGAAGCTGAGCAGGGAGGCAGGAGATGAAAAGCAGTCCCCAGGGGTGGCCTGAGGGCCCCAGGGACACCAGCCAGCGGTAGTTGCCTGGCAGTGCCTCACCCATTCTGGAACTTTCCTGCTCCTGCTCCTGCTCCCAAGGGGCAATGGGGCATAGTCGCCATATTGGCCACAGCTGTGAGCTGGGATGTGCTGGGTAGAGCTGGTGTGTGGGCAGAGGCAAGGAATGATCAGGGCTCTGGGAACCTGGGAGTACTTTCTATGGTGGCTCTGGGGACAGGCAAGGGCTCAAACATCTCTGGCTTCACTGGCAAGGAGAATTCAGAGCTTGAGGTAGAACTGAGCCGCACTCTGTTATATTACCTGATCTTGGGGGGACTGGATGCTCCCCCCAGAGAGAAGGAGGTTGTCCTGTTGGGCTTTTCTGGCACTGTAGACTGACGGTCCTGAGGCCCTGAAAGGAGACACCCTCTTGCCAGGATAGAAAGACCCTGGGGCCAGCCTCCTACCTCTGTACTCAATGGCTCCATTCGCCTGACCTGCCTAGCCAGGTTTCACTCTGCTCAGGCTGCCTGGTGATGGAGGCCAGCAGACCAGGGCCAGTCACTCTGAGTCCCTTAGGGAGTGTCCCTCTGCCCCTAGGAAGTCTGGGGTACTTCTTGCTGACAAACTATCATTTGTTAGTCCCAGGGAAATTGTTTTATAAGGTAGAATTGTCTGATGGCAAGATGACCTGTCCCATCCCCAATAGAAATTTAAAGCATACCCAGGGAGGGTCATCAAAGGAAGCAGGGACTCAGGGAGGCAGGTGTGGCTGAACCTGCCTCTGGGGTCACTTCCCCTCTGCGTGGGTCCCTGAGCCCTGTGGTGGGGGGTGGGGGTGGAGGTTAACGAGACAGACTCTTCCCGATGGCCAGGATCACCTGTGGTCAAGTGCCCACCACGAATCCTGGGAACACTGACTCCCAGGACCATGAAAGCTGGGAGGACACTGCCCCTAGGTCTCAATGTCTCACTGCCATCTGGCTCTTTCCACAGATTTGACCTGTCTGACAAGGATTCCTTTTTCGACAGCAAAACTCGGAGCACAATAGTAAGTGTCTTACAGCAAAAATCACTCCCTAACCAGGCGGGCCCAGGGATGCCGATGATCATTTCATTTTGGTGCTGGCTCCTCAGGGCGAATGTGGCTCTAATTGCCTGAGACAGAAATAATTGGGATAATAAAACCGGGAGGGCTGAGAGGGCCCAGGGGACAGCAGGGCCCGGGGCTGGCTTAGAGCAGGAAAGGACACAAAGAAGAGAGGAGGAGGGGGAGGGAAGCTCAGAGCCCCTCATTTGAGTCTTCTTGCTGTCTCTCCTTTTCCTTTTTATCATAGTAAAAATGCAGCTCACCCAGCATTTGCCACTTCCACCATTTTTACACGTATGATTCAGTGATGTTGGTCACATGTATCATGTTGACAACCCTCACTTCTGCTATCCATTTCCAGATTTTGTGTCCCCAGTAACATCACCCTTCTCACCGTCCAACAACCAACCTTCCTGACCCATAGTGACCCTATCTTTACGGAAGCACACGGACTCATCTTTCTCCCAAGGAGCAGCTGGTGCTTTGAACTGATGACCTTGTGGTTAGCAGTCCAGTGCTTATCCTTCTATGCCACCAGGGCTCCTTAAGAGAAAATCAGTGCCCCTAGGTCATGAGCCCCCCATTTCCTTTCCATCCACCCCAAGAGAGCCCTAATAAGCTGTGCTCTGTGTACATTTGCCAATTTCACATTTCAAGTGGGGACATGCTGCGTCTCTTCTTTCACTTAGCATGTTGTCAGAATTTATCCATGTGGTAGCATGTGTCCAAGCTTCATTCACCCATGTGATAGTGTGTGTTAGGACTTCCTTCATACATGTGTTAGCATGTGTCCGAGCTTCGTTCACCTATGTGATAGTATGTGTCAGGACTTCATTCATACATGTGTTAGCATGTGTCCAAGCTTCATTCACCCATGTGATAGTGTGTGTCAGGACTTCATTCATACATGTGTTAGCATGTGTCTGAGCTTCATTCACCCATGTGATAGTGTGTG